CCAACACAGGAAGATCACAAATCTGAGCCCAGCCTGAGAAATTTAGCCATTTAGCAATACCTTGTTCCAAAATAAAGCATGAAAAAAGACCTAGGGATGTGGCTCAGTGCAAAGGAACTGGGTTCAACCTCTAGTGCCACCAAAACACAGAACAAAACCCAGACAAGAGATAACAAGTGTCAGTGAGAGGGTAGACAAAAGGGAACCCTTGTATGTGCTTAGTGAAAACATCAGTTTGCACTTCCATTATTGAAAATAGTATGGAGGTTTCTCAAAAAATTAACAATAAAACTGCCATGTGATCTAACAAGCCCACTTCTGAGTAAATAGCCAAACTACAGGATATCAATATCTTGATCAAAGATCCTTTTAACATAAATACTGACTGAAATTTTCTTCTAACTACTGGTTCAGCTGTATCCCAAAATATTAATGTGTTATGCTTTTGTTATCATTGGTTCAAAATATTGAATAATTTGTTTTGTAATTTTTCTTTGATCCAGATTTGTTTAAAGGTAAATAGTTTAGGGGTTAAGATCATAGCTTTGTGGTACAGTAATTCTCTGGCATGCATGAGGTGCTGGATTCTGTCCCTAGAATGTATGTATACAAACACACAAACACAACACATATGTGCATGCACACACACACTGAGTTGTTTAATTTCCTGATATCTGGGTCTTTTCTAGATGATTATTTGTAATTTAATTCTATTTTCCTAGAGAACATATTCTATAAAATCCATTCTATAATCTTTCTTCATGTCCATTGATCAGCACTTGAAAACAATATGCATCTTCAGTTGTTGGCTGTAATGCTATGCAATCTAAGTTAATCTGGCTACTCAGGTCATTCTAATTTTATATGTTCATAATAATATATTTTGTAGCTTTGCCACTTGGATGACTTTTATTTCTTTCTGTAGATTCAAGTTGCTTCCTAAAGTATTTTTCCTGTAGCATTTCTTACACTGTAGATCTGTGGGCTCTAGATTTTCTTAGTTTTTACTTACATAAAAATTTATTCATTTCACTCTCTCTTTGCAGCTTCCCTCGAAACTCCCCTGGATATATGATGACTGACTGTCAGTTTTTTCCTTCAGTCCTACGAATATATTATTTCACTATGTTCTGGCTTGCTGGTTTCTGATGAGACGTCTTCTGTTATGTAATCTGTTTTTCTCCTATTGCTTTCACGATTTTCTTTTGACTGCGGCTCTTGGCAGGTTGAGTATGGTGTGTGTTACACTTTTCTTTTGAATCTTCCCTGGAATTGGCTGAGGTTCCTAGATCTGGCAATACAGTCCCAAGAAAAGCATTTAATTATAGGTCCTGTTCTATATCGCTCTGTATCAGGAGCAAATTTCTTTGTGGCCTCTGTTAGCCTTTCCTGTGTCTCCTGGAGATCCCCTGTACCTGCACAGTGTAGCTGTCGGCAGTGACTTGGGAGGTTTATGCTCTGAATTTTTATCTCATTTTCCATTGTTATCCCATTCTATTTTCAACCTCTTTGACAGACCTCAGCTCTGGCCCCATGAACTTTTATCTGGAAAGGCTATTTTCCACAGCAAGGCCATTTTCCAAGTATAGCCATGGTGATGAGTATTTCACTTTCTTGATGGTGTCTTTTGAAGAACATTGAAACAAAGACCCACACAAAACATGTATGTGGAGGCCCAAAGCAGAATTTTTAATAAGAGCCCAGAAATAGAAAGATCTTAAATATCCTCAACTGGTGAACAAAAATAAAATAAAACAAAAATAAACATATATTCATTCATCCAATGGAATGTTAACTGGGAATAAAAAATTGAAGTGTTAAAAACTAAAACATGCATGAATCTCAAAATATTTTATGCCCAGTGAAAGAAATCAGTGGCAAAAGACTGCAAATTGCGTTGCCACACTTATTTGAGATGCCCGAATAGACAGATCCAAAGAATATAAAACAGGTTAGTGTTGGCCTAGGGCTAGAAACAGTGAAGGCAGAAATGAGAGAGCAGTCAAGATTTCTCACCATTAGTAGATATAAGCCTTCTTTGGAGGTGATGAAGTGTTTTAATATGAAATTATGGTGGCACTGTATAACTCTACAAATACTAAAACCATTGAACCATACTCTATGAATTATGAGCTTTATGACATATAAGTTATAGCTCAATAACACTTTTTTATATGTCATATATATTTATAGTCAGGGGTGTAGCTTATAGGTAGAGCACTTGCCTAGTATGTTTAGGTCCTGGGTTCTACCTACCCTCAGCAATGCAACTAAACACTATATATGACCCCTACATATATGGCAAGTGATCCAGAACTCCTGATGGAAGGACTCTGCTACACTTCTAACATTTGCACCATAAATATTCCTCTTAAGCTCCTCCAAAGCACCTATGATTAAGTAGAAATAATCAGGCTTTTCACAGGATTATTGGACACTGGCTCTATATTAGCATCAATTCCTGGAGATTCCAAATGTCATCGTGGTCTACCAGGAAGGGGCTTGGAGGAGCTAAAATGCATCAAGTGATTAATGGAGTTTGGTCTTGGGACATCATTCTGAAGCCCCCGTGAGTTCCCAAACCCATGCTGTGATGTGTAGTTCAACAAGTCATTATCAGAAATTTAAAGGATTCAGCTATTCATTCTCTGTCCCATGAAATAAGAGATATTATGCTACAAAAAAATTAATGAATGCCTAAATATAATACTGAATGTCTGGAGGGACTACAGTGATTCCTACCACGTCCCCATTCAACTCCTATAATGTGACCCATGCAGAAGCATACAGATCCAGAAAAATGATGGTTTGTTTTTATTAGCTTAATCAAGTGGTACCTCCAAATTCTACTGGATAGAGGGTATTGTTTCCTTACTGTAGCAAATCAGTACATCTTTAGTATGCAGCTACTGATTAAATATCTTTATCCCTACGCCTGTCAGTGAAGACCATCAGCAGTTCTCTGTCAATTGACAGAGCCAATTTTATAGTCCTAATGTGAAAGAAATAGAAATAGAAAATAATATGAATAGGGGATTTGAGGGGCGTGAAAACAGGCCCAGGATGTAAAGCATTTGTGTCCCCCATGAATGCTCAACAAAGAACAATCTCAGGCAATTTCTTTCCCCGCAGCAGACACATCAAGAAAGCAATGAAGGCTTTACCTGAACTCAACAATATGAACTCTCATTCACCGAAGTCTATTTATTCGTAACAGTTGCCGAAATCTCAAAGCCACCAACAGCAGAGACCAACACCGTTCCCGGGGTGGATGGGAGGACACTAGTCACCCACTTGGTGCCAGTTAATTGCCTTGGAGTAATTCTATCGAGGAAAAGCCAGAACTTTGTCTCACTGGCCTAAACTCTCTGAATATAAATTCGCCCTTCAGGCCCACAATGATCTTGCCAATCCATTGGTTTAAAGAATGTTTTATTCATCATCATTGTCCCCCACACAGCATCGCCTCTAGCCAGAGAACTCATTCTATAGTAAATGAAGTATGGCAGTGGGCTTATGCTCACAAGACTCTTACACTTGCCCCATTACTCTGAAGCTGCTGGCCTGATGTGACGGATGGAGCTCTGGGTGGTCTTTTGAAGACTGAGTTATGTAAAAGCCTTTTGTGGCTCTCGTGTGATATAGCATGTTCTCCAAAGCAGTGAATACTCACTATGGTTTGAAGTGTTCCCCAAAAGACCATGTGTTAAAGGCTTGATTGCTACTCTGCTACTGTTAGAAGGTAGAACCATTAGCAGGTACAGCCAGGTAGAAGGAAGTCAGATCATTGGAGACATATTCTTGAAAGGGATATTGGGACCCTAGCCTTTTTCTGGTATTTTATTGTCTTATTTTTTCCCATTCCCCACCCCACCCTTCTGCCCCTCTTCCCTTTTTTATTTACAAGAGTTTTGTTTCCGTTTTTTCTTTTTTTTCTTGTTTATTTTATTTTTTCCGTTCCTTTCCTGTCCTTCCTTTCCTTTTCCCATGTCCCTTGTGCCCCTTCCCATTTGAACATTTTCTTCCTATTTCACAGTATCTGTCATACATTTTAGTCTTTATTTACACTTTCAGTTTCTCACACCAAAGAAACAATGCGATATTCACACCCAGACATCATGAGCTGAACATCCTCCCTTACCGTCATGTACTGCCTTGCTACTGACCCAAAAGCAACAAGACCTATGGACCATGGACTAAAACCTTCCAAACTGTGAACCACAGTAACCCTTTTCTTCTTTAACTGGACTGTCTCAGGTATTTTGTCACAGGGGTGGAATGCTGGCTAACATACCACTATATGGTCCTGTTCCTCCCATAGATATGATTTATGAGTCCAAACATCAAGGGATGGAAATAGTTGTTCTCACCACCATCTCTAATGATACACTGGAAAAATTTTACTTTCCATTCCTTCAGCTTTGCTGCTTTAGAGATCTGAATTCCCCATGAGACGTGCTTCTAATGAGTGATACATCAATTATTCCATGAAAGTAAAACTTAAGGCTGCCTCCTGGCCACGTTAGATTCCTCATGCCAATTAACTAACAGATACGGGAGACAGTCAGAGTAATTGATCCCAGGTCATCAAGAATAACTTGATCTGTGACTACACTATAAAGGCAGAGAGGAGTCCATCTAAAATACAAGCGTTCTGATGAGCTCTGTCTCTACCCTAGCTAATGTTGTTCATGTCATAGAGCCTCATTTTAGGAATACGTTGGGTGTAGAAGGAACATGCCTTTCTGTTTTATTGGGTTTTCTTTGTTTTGTTTTGTTTGATTGATGATTTGTTGTTGATTATTTTGTCTTTGTTCATTTTGTAAAACTCGGAACTGAACCCAGGGCATTGAACATGCTAATTTCATGCTCCACCCCTAAGCTGCATCCCCAGAAAAATTTTTTTGGGGGGTCATGAGCTTGCCCAGGCTTGGCGTGACTTATGATCCTCCTGCCTCAGCCTCCCAGAGTGCTGGAATTATAGGCGTGCACCACTACACCCAAATAGGAAATATTTCACAAATTTGTGTGTCATTCTCGCATAGGAGTCAGGCTAATCTTCTCCACATCATTCTAACTTTAGTATGTGATGCCAAAGCAAATATTCTCTCTGGGGCTATAAACCAGCTATTCCAGATTTCTGTTCCAGTACCATGTTTAAAAATACTTCAAGAGTCGTGTTTATAAATTATCACATTTACCCCCATTCCTGTAAGAAGCTATACCCTAATCTGCAGTCACCTTTTGAGAGAGAACATTTCTCTGCCTAATGCTTTTTGTCTCTGAGTGATTCATATGTAAAGTGTCATGTAAGTGCGAACATAATGATTAACATGTTATTAAAATTCCATACTGAGGCCTTAGGTTGCATCACTTGGTTTAAATCTACATTTATCAACTCCAATTAGATGCTTTTCTAAAGGTGCCCCTCTTAAAAAGTTTAAAAGTCAATTAGTCTTATACCTATAAATTTTACAAGCCATATCTTAAGTACTAAAGCTAGAGGTGACAGTGTCACCTGAGGATGAGATAATGATAAGAGATTTATTGCATTTTATGGTGAACATTTTTAAGCCCCTAAATTAACCTACCTCAAGTTGGCAACAGTTTTTACAACTTGGAATAAAAATGCTTTAGTTTTTATAGTGCTTATCCAAAATTGCCTCATTTACTTAGAAATACAGGCATCAACTTAAAACAATGAATATTAAGCGTTGAAAACCCTGACACAAAATGTATCTTTACAACAAACAGATTTGACATGACTGATAGAAGCAGTCACGACTCCGTAAGTCAAAATGCTAAAAGCCCTGTGACTAAAGAAGCTAAGGTAAAAAACAAAGAGAACTGATTTTTATCTCGGTTGTCAAGAAGCCAAGAAACAATGCACATAGTGGGGGGAGCAGAGGGTGCTATTTGCTCAGCAGCGGCTGAGCTAGATTAATGAAATGCATGATATTTTTATATTGAGAGTAGGCCCGTGTACAACCTCAGGTGACCTGGGGTGAAGTCAGCAACTCCCCAGAAAGGTGAGAAAAGTCAGGTGGAAATGTACAGATGTGTGTTCTGGAGAAAAGGCTGAGATCAATGGAGCCTAAGGAGAGATGAGGCAAGGATGTATTCTGGGAATACAAGAGGAGTTCCTAGCCAAGAACAGCTGAATCCCACGTGCAGTGATGGCATTATAGGTTAATTTAAAAGAAAGCAAAGGAAGAGGTCGGAGTCCTGACGATTTAAAGAAAAATGTGGTAAAGTGTAAACAAGGATAGACTCGTGATCTGGGATTTTATCTTTAAACAAAGAGATTTTCCTTACAGCAATCTGAAGAGCAGGGAAGAGGGAAGCACGGATGTTTCAGGAAAGCATACTGGACTGGACTGAGTCAGGACAGAAAGGAATTCCTCCAACCTGGTATTCAACATTCTTTTACAAGGCAGATGGCAGCACCCCTGAACTAAGTCCCTGGCCTAGGTACTCAAGGTTCTTGCCTGGGCTCTGAGGAGGCTTTGCTGGGTATAAATTACCCCACTGAACTATCTTGGCTCACAAGAATTTCTGGAATACAGTTGCCAAGCTCCCCTAAAAGGTGAGAAGTGTCAGATAGAAACGTATAGATGTGGGTCATAGAAAAAGGCTTAGACCTGTGGGTATAGTGTGAGACTTCAGTGTGGCTTTTCCCTAGTGTGTATTTATTTGAAACTTGCCATTACTTCCAGAATTGAATCCATCAGTTGGTCAGGGAGTCTCTGCCTTTATCAGGAACCATGGGAAGAAAGCACAAGTGTTGTAAAGTCATCATCCTCAAGAGGGTAGTAAGAATCTGCCCAAAGCTTTCTCTCTTTTCCTGGTTTCAGATCAAAGCAGACATCACCATATTGTTGACAGAGAAAGTATTCAATACACAAATGCTGAATGGTAGCAAAAATATTGAGATTCAGCCTTAAAGGCAATGTCCATCAAAACTGTCTGGGAAACTCTGGGACATAAAACCAGCAGATGCTGCATTAATTTTAGTATTGCTATATCTGGAGGAATTGCAAAAATTAATTACATCATAAAGGACTTGAAGGATTCACAGATAGTGATTTCTATCCATCCCCATTCAATCTGTACAGAAGAAGGATGTCCTCATAAAAACGGCAATGGATTTTCACGGACTTACTCAGAGAGTGACTTTATACCTAACTGCTTGTTTCTTTACTGAAGCAAAACAATAAAACCTCTGCTATCTAACTACTGATCTGTCAGATTGGGTTATTTTTTTCTTTATACAGTGATATCTCAATTCATTCGGCAACATTTTGCTTCCATTGGTGAAGTCCACATCTGGTAACATTGAACTTTATGGTAAATTTGACTCATATCAGAACCAATTCAGTTTGTGTCCAGAATTGCAGAACAGATTTAGCTCATGAACCAAAGCACCACTCTACTTGCTAGTAAAGATCACGAACAGTTTCTTTCAATTGGCAAGGGTAGCAATCTACCTTTACAGCCTTACCATGGAGAAAACACTACTGGAAATTCTGTGAAAGAAAGATCTGGGAGAGACATAGAAAGATATGTATCTTCAAATGTTCCCTATGACTGCTGACTGAAGAGCAACTTCATCAGAGAACTTAAATAATTAGATGAACAAAATGAACTATTCTGTGATCTCAGGCAATCTCTCCTCCACAACAGGCTCATGAATATAGAGATGGAGGTTTTGCATGTACCTTTCTTTGTTCCGTGTCTCTATGACTCTTTCTCCCCTCAGTACTGTCCAAGGTATAACTATACCGTCAAACTTCTCAAGGAAACAAATTTCTTAGAAATTTTTCTAGTTATATTTCTCATGTTTCATTGATTCCTTTCATCTCTGTTATGTCCTTCTAGTTTGTTTCTTGAGTTTGCTCTTTTGATCTTTTACCACCTATTGAATTGAATGCCAATCATCTTTTTATAAATCTCTTACTCCCTACTGGCTTTATGTAAACCTGTAAATTTCCCACAAAGTTACTACTTATTTAGCACTTTGCTAAATATTGGGCCTCATTAATATGAAGTTTTTTTCACTACCAGTGAGTTTTAAATGTTTCTTAAATTTCCACTATGGTTTTCTTTCTAATCCAACAGCTATTTTGTAATATTTCCAAACATATTGTGGGCTTTCAAATCTTTTGTTTCTTTTTTATCTATATTTTAGTGCATTTTAATTAAATTGAGATCAAAGAACATAACTATTATTACACATTTGAGATTTATTGACATATTTTGTAATAGTATTTTTATTAGGACTGAACTTTACTCATTGAGTTATTGTCTTCAATATATTTAATAGAATAAGCTTATTAATTCCATTGTTAGGCTTTTCAAATAAATGTTTTAACTAATTTATCATTTCTAAGAGACATGTATTAAAATTATAACCTTTAATTGTTATATCTCTCCCTAAAGTTTTGCAATTTTATGCTTTATACATACTAATGTGGAATTTAAATTATTATACATACTAATGTGGAATTTAAGTACATCAATATTTATGGTAGTTGTATTTTCTTTATTCGGCTTCCCTTCCACCTGTATCAGTTTGTCAATTGTTAAGATATTAACCTTGGCTTTATTCTGACTCTTTTTTTGTGGGGGTGGTTTTTTGAGAAAGGGTCTCACTCTGTAGTTGAGACTGACCTGGAGCTCACTATGTAGCTCAGGCTGGTCTCGAACTCACAGCAATCCTCCTGCCTCAGCCTCCCAAGTGCTGGGATTACAGGTGTACGTCACCACACCCAGCTGGTTTTCATCTTTTTATTCTTAATCTACTTGGTCTTTTATTTTAAATGTATCTGATATAGATCATATATTCTTGGATTGTGATTTCTTAATCTGAGAGTTTATATTTTTAATTGGTGAGTTTAAATAGGTATTTATTTTATGTTCAGACTTACCCAATTTATTTTAAGTTTTCTATTTTTTATATTTCGTCTTTTTTCTCTTTGGATAAAATCACTTTTATTTTGCTTATTTAAAATCTAAACATCTTATTTTTATTCTTATTGTGACGGTTCTTAATAGAAGAGTTGTTTATTCTTACTGATTTATTCAAGTTATCAACATTTTTATCTTGTTCTGTCAACATAGGTAGTTTAGCACACTCTTATGTCTCTTTAATTTTCCACTTGTAGGCCATAATTAATATTATTTAGATACTTAATTCGGGTTCACTGTAATAACTGGATTTTCTTTTAAATCTAATTCAAAGTTATTTTCCTTCAATCACTTAAAAGCACTACTTCGTTTTTTTGTGATCGCTAATGTTGGCGTTGAGAATGTGTAGCAGTTCAGTTCATATTCCTGTGTGGAAAACTGATCTTTCACGAAGCTTTTAGAATTTTCTGTCTTTAGTGTTCCCAAATTTCACTATTTAAGATCTGGATGTGGAAATTTTCTTCTCTCTCTTATTTAGTCCTGTATGATCTCATGTTGAGATCTTTCTCTTTAATAATGGGAAAGTAACACCTATTAGTCTTCAGATATTTACCCTCTTCTTTTATAAATCCTATCAGCTGGACATCAACTGGATAGAAATGCAGAAATCCTATACTGTATTTCTCTCTCTCATATCGCTTAGACTTGACTGCATCTTCCCCTCTGTGTTCCATCTGCTCCCTCTGCCTAAGTTCCTCCGTCTGGTCTTCTCCGCTCATTCCTCTGCCACACCCTTGCTGATACCCCAACTCTTATACATCATATTTTGATATCATGTTCTTCATTCTGGATCATTTCCAGTGGCTCTTACTTATATGATTTCTTATTCTTACTTTAGATTACTAGTAAATATATTCATGCATTTTTAAATTATTAATATATCTCTTCCAATAATGCTGTTTCAAATGGTATTTGCTCAGTTTAAATATATGTGTGTGTGTATATATATGTATATACCTAATTTAAATGAAAGGCATGTTATTTGTATGAAAATTCATTTAACACAGTGATTGTATACACATTGTGCATTGAACACTATACTTGATGTTGGGAATAGAACTGTTGGTAGAGCCAGGGTTGCTGCCTTACGGAAATTATGGTCTCGTTGGGTGGGCGTGTGCGTGTGTGTGTGTGT